TCTCAGAATTTTGAAAAAATGAAAGGTGATCTCATTGAGACTGCAAAATGCCTTAAGGGATAGACAGGTTAGATGGGGCTAGTGATTTTCCTGGTTGGGGAATCCAGAACTATAGGGCATTATTTAAAAATAAGGGGAATGTCAGTGAGGACCAAGGTGAAGATGAGACCGAGACAACAAGGTGCAGGGCTGGATGAACACAGCAGGCCAAGCAGCATCATAGGAGCAGAGAGGCTGACGTTTCGGGCCTAGACCCTTCATTAGAAAAGGGGGAGGGGAAGGGGGTTTTGAAATAAATAGGGAGAGAGTGGGAGGTGGATAGAAGAGGGATAGAGGAGAGGATAGGTGGAGAAAAAACAAACAGGTCGAAGAGGCGGGGATGAGGCCAGGAAAGGTGAGTGTAGGTAGGGAGTTAGGAAGGGGATAGGTCAGTCCAGGGAGGACGGACAGGTCAAGGGGGCGGGATGAGGTTGGTCGGTAGGAGATGGAGGTGCGGCTTGAGGTGTGAGGAAGAACAGGTTAGGGAGGCAGGGACGAGCTGGACTGGTTTTGCGATGCGGTGGGGGGAGGGGAGATTTTGAAACTTGTGAAATCCACATTGATACCATTGGGCTGCAGGGTTCCCAAGCGGAATATGAGTTGCTGTTCCTGCAACCTTCGGGTGGCATCGATATAGGTTTTTGAGATAGTAGGATATAGGATATAGGTTTTTACTCAGATGACAACTCCTCTTTGGAATGTTTTGCCCCATGGGATCTTGGAAGTTTAGTCTGAGTATATTTAAAGCAGATCTGGATACATATTTGATTATCAATGGCATAAAGGATAATAGGGTTGATGTAGGTAGAAGGCACGGAAATGTTTGATCTGCCACGATCAGATTAAACAGCAGAGCAGGCTCAACTGGCAGAACAGCCTACCTTTGATCCGGTGTTCATAACCTCACATTAGTTGAGCTCAACCAAAGTTTGTGACTCAGAACCTAACTCAAACTACATATCATTTACCCATCACCTCTATACTTGCCGATTTACAATCTCCTTCATTTTCCAATTCTCACGCTTCTTTCCAATTCCCTCATGGCCATTCAATTACCTATTCTGTAATTTCCTGCAGCAATGGAACCCTCCGAAATCTCTGCACTCCTTCTCTCACACAACCTCAATTTCAGCATTCCAACGATGACAACTCTGCCTTCATCTACCTGCACCCTAAGCTTTGGAATCCAGTCGTTAAACTTCTCCAATTCTCTCTCCTCCTCGAATTCTTGCCTAAAACCTACCATTTTGACCAACCTTTGATCATCAGTTCCAATATTTCCTTATGTGTCACAATGTCAACTTCAGCTTGGAAACATTCTTGAGAAGTGCCTCGGGATATTTTACCATCGTGATGATGTTGATACTGCTACATGCAGTCCCCAAGATAGGAACAGGCAAGTTCGTGAAGGGAACTGAACAAGAGGAAGATGGATGCAATGTAGGCCAGGTGTCGGGGAATGGGATCTGGGGAGAATCGTAGCATTCTGAATTCTGTATGTGCCAGCTAGCAGAGAATTGGAACAGTCAAATCTGGAGGCGACGAAGGCATGGATATGACTATAAGACAAAGCAGCAGAAGTAGGCCATTTGGCCCATCGAGTCTCCTCCACCATTCAATGAGATCATGGCTGATCTGACTTCTCAACTCCACTTTCTTGCTTTTTTCCAATAATCCCCATTTCCCTTACTGATTAAAAATCGATCTCAGCTTTTTATATACTTAACAATCCAGTCTCAGAAGCCCTCTGCAGTAAAAATTCCATATTCACTACCCTCAGACAAGAAATTTCTCCAATTTGTCTTAGATAGGCAACTCCTTAATTCTGATATTCCACTTGGATATTTCCAAACACAATATAAACATTAAAACAAAAAGTAACAACCATCACTGTACAACCAAATCCTTCAACTGATGAAATGAAGAAGAAATAACTGACAGAAAAAGAATAAAGAGAAGAAAAAATCAACTACTTAAAAATACACCAATGTTAGTTTACAAAATAGCAACAATTTGTTTTATTTCATTTCCTCACTGATGGTGAAGATATTTTGAGCCAGATTCACATTTTTCATGAAACTCTATTACTTTTTAACAGATATGAACAATGAAATCAATGAGATCAATGAGATAAATAAATAATCGTAGGTAAATTGCTTGAAGGTGACCAGACTAGAAAAAAGCACAAAGACTAGAACACAAAATTGAACTAAAGCAGAAATCAGAAAGATAAAGAGCAGTGATGACAACTTTAACACACCCAGCTGCAGGGAAATGACAAGAAAAATCCAAAGGTTCAGAGAAAACATTCTACCCAAAAAAATGCAAAGTTGCAATTGTTTATCATGTCCTGATACTAATGTTCAAAACTAATACTGAAATAGAGAAACTGCAAAAACTGCAACAGCAAAAAAACATAGGGCATAAATAAAACAAGTTCAAAGAGAAGACAGATCAAGGAGAAATCATTCTAATGTAAAAAACAGTTTTCAAGCACGTCAGTAAAAATAGCACTATTGAGAGGGAGGATTGTCAATCTGGAAAACATTCAAGGAATATAAATAAACATTTTTTATTAGTCTTTACTAAATACCAGGAGGTGAACTCTGCAGTGGTTGAGAGAGCAAGATGAGTGATTATGAAGAAGGATACAATCAATATTTTAGATACATTATTTATTGAGAAAATAAAACCCCCAGATGAACTGGAAGCATCCTAAGATCCTACAGATTACGAGAGAAGAAACTTTCAAGACCCAAAAGTATTTTTCAAGGTCCTATTGAGCAAGCACGCTTACAAAGCTCAGGAATATTAAAAGACTTGTACTAATTATTAACAAGAAAATCAACTAATTAGCACAACTACAAGCCACTTATCTACTGTACGGAGAAATTCCTTAACGTAAAATTACTTTCTGTTTATCTAAATAAATGGCAAGTAATTGCAAATGGGAAAACTGCACTTACAACTGGCAACGAATTCACTGAGGATGCAACATAATGTAGTGGACATGTCAGAAGGCCTAACATCACCGATCAAGAGATGATTGGAATTAGCACAAAGCAGATTCACTGGAATATCATATAAACAAATGCAAAAATAAGGAAAGACTCAAAGGCCCTCTTGTGGCACACGGATAGTGTCCCTACTCCTGGACCAGGAGGCCTGGATTCAAATCCCACCTACTCCAGAAGTGTGTAATAACACATCTGAACAAATTGATTAGAAAAATATGTACAATGAAGGCTTTCAAAAGTTGTGACTTTCTTGACTTAAACAAAATACAGGCCAATAAATAATTGAAAACTATATTTCAAGAATAAGAAAGGATAGAAAGGAATCTAGAATGCAGGTTAGTGGTTGACGCAGATCTGTGCCAAAATTAGACTGTCTAGCTGGATGAAGAAAAACTGCGTAAAGGCATATGGGAACACGATGGGTAAATATAATTAGAACCATTTCCTTTTGTGGTGGATAACGAAGTGGTTGGGCCAAATAGGAGTTAATAAATCGATAAATAGAGAAGTTACTTAAATCAGAAGGAAGGGGAACAGGGAGAATAAAGCAGCAACTCAGTAGGGAAGACCATGACAAAAATGGATTGAGGATTTGATCCCATGGCATTAATTACAGAATTTTAAAAGTCAGATGCAATGGTAAATCTACATACAAACTTTAACAAGGCTGCAGCTGGGAGTCTCAAATTTAAAATTCTAATCATGGTTTAAATTCATTCAAGGCCTTGCCTCTTACTGTCTCTACAACCAATACTGTGAAATCTCCATCCTCCAATGAATGCCTCTTGTACATCCCACTTGGTAATGGCTTCAGCCATTAGAGCTCTGTGTGCTAGAATTTCCTCCCTGAACCTCTCCTCCTCCTTTTCCTCAAGGCCTTTTAAAATCCAGCTCTTATCTTTCACCCAAAGTTTCCCACTTTTGCTGAATGCTAATATGTTCCAAATTTGACACCTGTCAAGTGTGTTGGGACATTTTATTATTTTGTGAGAAAGCATTCTATAAGTGATCGCTGCTGTCGGGTTTTATGAACACAGCCCTATGAACCGTGCTACTGGAAAGATGTCAAAGTAATACAATTGAGTACAATACAGATTTCAACTATTGCTGCCAAGCATAAATAAATATAAATACAAAGATTTGAAAAATTAGGTCTATCTTTATTAAAACAGGAGATTCAAGTAATTTGGAAAAAAATGGATATAGAAACCATTTCCAGTGGTTTTGGGGATAAGAACAAGGGGCATGGCTATAACATTAAACGCAAGTGGTTTAGAATAAGGGGCTCAGTATGTGACAAACAGAAACAATGTCCAAAATGCCCACATTTAAGAGTAACATATATCATTAAAGAAAGGAGAAATAAAAGGAATATGGGATTGAGATCACAGCTCATATGGAGGACAACAGCAACACATTTGTGTGCTGTAATTCCTATTTAACTTCCACTGGTAAATAGTACTGTAGTAACTATTTCACATAAACCGATCATTGCATGTGAAGTCCTGTAGGGCTTTAGAATATTTAAGACTTTATGATAATGAGACCATGAAAAAATCAATGTTTCTAAGACGGGGTTTATTCTGTGGACAGCAAGTGGCAATGCAGATGAATGGGTTATATCCCATTCATCAGGGAAGGCAGAATCAGAAGACCACCAAGTGCTTTCAATTATACTGACAGAAGGAAATTCAAAGTAGAATTTAAGATGTGCCTTTCAGTTTTGGCTTCAGGGGAAAATCATGTCGTCAGGCACCCATAACCAAAGAGAGGAAAACTGAGGCAGAAGGCCAGGAATACCATCTCCAATCTCTTCCACACAAATCCCGCCATTTTTTGTAGGCGCAGGTCCATTTACTGGAGAAGCTCCAGAATAGCACACGAGCAACCCAACTCAGTCCGACACCCATCTCCAGAAAGAAAACTTATATTTACATGACTTACCAAATGTGAAGTCAAGAGTCTACTGCACGTTTGAAGTGGAGAAAGTCACAGACAATTACAGCAGCAACCAGGAATGAAGACTCATTTCTGTTTGGAAATACAAATGTACACAAAATAAAAGTTGTTTTACAGGGAGAGATATTGTAGTCCTATCACCGTTTGCAACTATTTAATACCAAATTAGCACATATAATTGAAACACTGATTTTGCACCAAGGTCCAGTCAATCTGTATTCTTCAACAGATTTGTAACTTTGCAATTGCATCTGCTGGATGAATAAACGTCAAAAAAGGAGACAAATAATTTACCAACACTCCCAGAAGGATTACCAGGTCCCACTTCTTCCCACCAGCCATGACAGCAGAGATGCAGAAGCAGCTAGTTCAAATGTGTAACAAAAACATAAGTTGCTGGAAAAGCTCAGCTGGTCTGGCAGCATCTGTGAAGAAAAAAAATCAGAGTTAATGTTTCGGGTCCGGTGATCCCTACCTAGTTCTGAGGAAGGGTCACTGGACCCGAAACGTTAACTCTGATTTTTTTTCTTCACAGATGCTGTCAGACCTGCTGAGCTTTTCCAGCAACTTCTGTTTTTGTTCCTGATTTATAGCATGCGCAGTTCTTTCGGTTTTCATTTAGTTCAAATGTGTCTTTGAGATCCTGATCTGCAATCAAGGCCAATCAGAAACAGGTTCCACACTCATCACTAGTGCAATTGTGTGTAGATGTCAGCACTTTAAAAGCCTCCATATTTAATCCCCTTACCTCATTAGGTATTGCAAAAATCCGCACCACCCCCAATGAATGCTTCCAGCTTTCCCCTTTACAATGCTGTTTCAGGATGTACGTTGTTAGTCATCCCACCAAAATTCCATCCCCATATCAATGTGCCAATTCATAGAATTAATGCCAATAACTACAATTCTGGTCATCCTTATAGGCAGGATTTTGTTAAACGTAACAGGGTTCAGAAAAGATTTATAAGGATGCTCCTGAGACTGGAGGGTTTAAGCTATAGGGAGAGGCTGAATAGGCTGGAGCTATTTTCCCTGGAGTGTCGGAGGCTGAGGATGACCTTATAGAGGTTTATAAAATCATTGAGGGCATGGATAAGGTAAATAGCCATGGTCCTTTTTCCCAGGGTAGGGGATTCCAAAACTAGAGGACTCAGTTTTAAGGTGAGAGGGGGAAAAGATTTAAAAAGGACCTGAGTAGTAACTTTTTCATGCAGAGGGTTGTGCATGTAGGAATGAGCTGCCAGAGCAAGTGGTGAAGGCTGGTACAATTACAACACTCAATTGGCATCTGGCTGGGTATATGAACAGGAAGGGTTTACAGGGATATAGGCCAAATGCTGGCAAATGGGACATGGTCAGATTGGGATATCTGTCGGCATGGACGAGTTGAACAAAAGGGTCTGTTTCTGTACTCTACGACTAAGTCCCAACCCACAAGGTGGCTCTGGTCCAATCTAATTTCTTTGGGTGGGTACAGCATTCAACCTACAATCCCACTTATTCAATTTACATTGTGAAGATTGAAAATAAAAACAATGAACTGAGCAGGAAGGAACCTACTTTAGTGCAGTTTGGAACTGGCAAATAGTATTTTGGTTTGTCCAACCCAACGTACCAACTAAATAACACAGGCAGACATGGACAGAGAAGCTGAGTTTATGGAAGATAAAAGCATTAAACTCATTTGACAAGACCACACTGAGTAGGAACAGGCACAAAAAGTATGGCATGCGTTACATTTTAGGCATTTAGTTATTTCCAAAAGTACAATTGCATTTCTCTCTCATTGCTTCCTTTGATCGTCCCCTGGGCGCGGGACGTCAGAGCCACACACAAGCTCAACATTCAATACCTAGGTTAAAAGTTTCTCCAGCTTGGCCAAACCTTCTCGTGAAGTTCTCTAACATAAATAAGTATTTTTGTTTATGGTATGGTATCCCTGACCAATAGCATGTCGCATTTGCTAGCTACTGCCCATTTTGCTTACCTCATTGAAATCATGACTCAAGGTACAAACTATGTTTGAAGGTCAACAGCAAACAATTTGGACTATCAAACCGCCACTTCCCTTGTGACATCCGTCACATAGCACTCAAGCACATTATGCTGTTCAGCATTCCTGTTACAAAGGCCACAACTGGAAAAATCCATCACTGTGTTGATGAAATGTGTATGCACAGCTTCAGACATAGCTAAATCAAGGAAAGCAATCTTGGACAAATCTGTGAACATACCTAATCAGATTAAATTCCAATCCTAGGAAACAAGGTGCCCAGTGGTTTAGATGCTTCATGCTCAAAGAGCTAGGTTCAGCTTGAGGGAAACACTTAGCCAATTCAGAACTCACAAATTCAGAGATCAAAGCATAATACATGTATTCCATTACTCTTCTCAGAGATTTGTTACTTCTTCAATGAATTTCCCAAGGTTGATTGAGTATAACCTTCCTCTTCGATCAACTTTAGAAAATGAGTATTCTGCATTGCTTTCTATTAAGTTTTTTTTAATAAAAATCCCATTATGTTTCCTATGACCATCATTAAGCTAGCTGGTCTTTATTTTCCTTGGTTTATTCATGCATCCTTTTTAAATACAGGAACAACATTAGCAGTCCACCGGTTTTCTGATGCTAGCTTTTTATTAAAAATGGTGAATTATTGTATTTACCTAAAAAGCTACTACTATTGCCTTTTTTTTCAGAAACTTTTGTTAACATGCTGCAAATTATACTGGAAATAGGAGTACAATTCCTCGATAGTAATGTTTAGTTTCTTGCTGTTTGAGTCTTTTCTCCCCAAATTCATCTTATAATCTCATGTATCTTCTTCGCTTTTCCTGCTAATGCACTTAACGCACACCTTTGACCCTGGTTTCAATTTTTGCCTCATCTCTATTTACCCAACATGTTTTATTATTGCTTAGTTTGCTCTTGCTTTTATGTTGAAGAGGAATATATTTCTTCTAATCACTATTTTGAAATATTTTCCACTACTGCTCCATCTTTTTCCTGACCTTCCCTCCAGTTTACTTTCACATTTCCATTCTCATCCCTTCAAAAGCTTTTATTTCCTCCAACATCGAACCATTTCATCTAAGTTTTTCTTAAAGAACAAATACTATTTTAAACATTTTGATGTTATGATTGCTATTGCGCAAATGCTCCCCCGTACTTACTTTCTTACCTGCTCCAGTTGAGCTCCCATTGTCAAATTCATCAGTGATGGTAGGCTTCTGTACTTGATTACTTACCTTGCCTTTCCCTTACTCTTCTTGTCAGTTTGTTTAGGGATGGATGATTATTATCATTATATGTATTTTATTCAATTCATAGATTTGACTACACATTTTTTCCTTCAGTTCTCTCCCACTATCCATATAGCCATGCTCAGTTAGCTGGATAGCTTGTCTATGATACAATGATGCCAACAGGATGGCTGGGTTCAATTCCTGCACCAGCTGACATTACCATGAGGATGAAGGGTCTAGGCCCTAAACGTCAGCCTTTCTGCTCCTCTGATGCTGCTTGGCCTGCTGTGTTCATCCAGCTCTACACCTTGTTGTCTCGGATTCTCCAGCATCTGCAGTTCCTACTATCTCTTACCATGAGGATTCCATCTTTTCAACCTCACCCCTCAAAATATAGTCACCAATCGTCTCTCTTTCTATGATGAAGCAGCCCTCGTTCTGGTAGGACTGGTGACTTTAGTTCTGCATTATTTCAGTTAATCCTATTACATCTAGTTCCTCGATACAAGACATTCCTTCCATTTACACTATTCTTTTTAGGATTCCTTGCAGGTGATTTAATTCACTTAATTAGCTGTTCCCCTCATTTTATTTTTGAATTGTCATTTTATGCTTATTTTCTATATTTGTATCAGTTCTTCATTGTTATCCACCAAATATCTGAACATAACTGAAGATAAAGGAAAGTGGAGATGTGCAAAGTTATTTCCACAAGAGTTCTCACTCTGTCTTACTTATTTAAAGTGCTTCCCGTAGCCCTACTTATCCTTTCAACAAGGACTCTGGTCCCATTCCATTTCAGGTTCCGGTATTAAAAACTGAAATAACTGCAGTTGGTGTAAATAAGAGACAAAAATAAAAATTGGTGGAAAATCTCAGCAGGTCTGGCATCATGTGCGGAGAGAAATCAGAGTTAACATTTCCGGTTAAATGACCCTTCCTCAGAACTATTTTTGTCTAGTGGTACAGTACCTTTCTGTCTCAATTCTGATACCAAGGGCTCATGAAATGGAAACTATCCTTCCATAGTCTTTCATTCATGCAACCATTTCCCTGATTAACCCTATGTTAATCACAAGGTTACCATCCTCAAGATTCCTTTAAAAGCAGATCCTAATTTCTGATTTCTCTGACATTTTCTTAGTTATGAGTATTTCTTTTACTTGTTTCCCCAGTTGAGCTGGGCGGTTGCTGTATGTTATTGTCTGCCTCAAGGGATGAGCACGACTCAACATCTCTCTCTCTCTGTGTGGTGGAACTATAATGTCCCTGTAATGGTACAGTCCCAGGCTACAGGATGGCTGGGAAAGTAATGTCACTGTGTTGATTTGAGTGAGATAACTGACCATAATATCACCCTGAGACACACCTCAATCATCCACGCCAACTCCAGCAATGGCATTTTTGCTGGCCATTCGCTCCAAAGATCTTTCTGTGAACAGGCCATTTGTTGCTGCAGAGCTAGACACTCTCTCAGGGATACATCTAAAATCTATTAAAAGTGCCTACCAAGATAATGCTGCTACGTTATACGTAATAACAGCATCTCGACAATTTTGTGCATCGCTTTGCAAATTCCTTGCTCATCTGTTTTTGGCTGTGGACCATTGCTGAGCAAAATGTGAATGTTTCCCCTTATCCTTAACTGTACCACCCTAATAGTGCAGTGGAAGACTGATATAGCATGGTCGCTGGGAACTGATAGAACCACATCATGACTGTGTTCGAGCTGAACTTCTCGGATAATCAAATAACAACTGAATTGGCTTTACCTCTTGTCAGGTGAATGCATAATATTGCCACAGAATTCATCAGATTGATGTGTC